GTCTTCTTATATTTCTCTGGAATTACTCTTCTTCATTAGAGTTTTCTTTTGCAATTACACTTCTTCCTAAGTGTGGCATGTGAGGTTTTAACTGCTCTGTTCCAGATTTTCTTCTTCAGTCAGTGGCAGCAGCTCTCCTGCTGAATTGTGATGATTAGTCTTGATTTCATATTCCAGCCTGTACTGAATATAATCCAGATCAGAGTCAGCTTTCTGGAACATTAGTTACAGCTTATGGACTTCTGCCTCCATGTTGAATATTGAACAAGGCTCTTCTTAATGTTAATTTCTGGCCTCTTTCTGTTATGAGTTCCCAAGTAACTATATAGATAGTTTGAATTTTCTTTGGGGAGGGGTATGCAAAACTCATGTTGTATCAAAGCCCATCTTCTTCAAAAAGGGTAACTTGTTGCTGAGAATTGACAGCAAGCAATACATGAGCCATTCAATGTATTATACAGGCTTGAAGGGACCTTTCTCCAAGAGGATCCAAAGCCTGGCCAACAACAGACTGACAGAGGGTTGGGCGGTTCATCCTCTGTTGTGGTAAAACAGTTCATTCATATCTGTACATAGGTTTAGCAAAGTTAGTGGCTAGAACAGAAAAAGAAAAGTGAGGTCAGTCCTGTGGACTGAAGGGGATGGTAAGAAAGTAATCCTTAAGATCAGTAACTATCATACTCCAGTACAGTGGAACCAAAGCAGAAGAGTTCTGCAAAGTGCCCATAGGGTAAACACATGCAATAACTCTTAAATACTGAGGCAGCCTCTGAATTCCTGGTTTCTTTGGTATAACAGAAACAGGGTTATTCCAAGGGCTACTGGAAGGCTTACTATGTCCTATTTATACTGTTCCATTGTCGCCAGTAAGCAAATGAGCACATCAGCTTTCCATTTTAATGATAGTGTAGTATTTGGATGGGGAGGAGCCACAATGAGCCAAATTAAATTTTGTCTCCCAGCCAGGACCTCCCCTGTCATTCTTCTAACAGATTTTACGGGTCTGGTATTGCCTTGATTTTTTTCCCTGTTCTCATCCTGGAATAATGTCTCATATTTTCATCTTTCTATCAACATGTGGGAATGCCTCATTAATATTTTGAATCCACCATTCTTTCGGTAGACTCTTGCCCCACAAATTGGCAGAG